ATGACTGGTATTTTTTTCCTTAAATGTTTAATACTATTCGTTGATTGAGTCATCTAGACATCGAGTTTTATTTGTTGGGATAGTTTTTAATTATTCAATTTCTTTTATTTGTATAGGACTATTCAGGTTTTCTAATTCTTCTTGAGTCAGTTTTAAAAATTTGTCTTTCAAGGAATTTGTTCATTCTAACTTAGCATGTTTATTAACAAAGTTTTCAGTGATACTTTTATTAACCTTTTAATGTCTGCAAGATCTATGGTTGTTCCGTCTATTTATTTAATTGAATTTATTGGGGTGACATTGGTTAAAAAAATTATATAGATTTCAGGTGTACAATTCTATAATATAGCATCTGTATATTATATTATGTGTTCACCACCCCAAGTCAAGTCTCCTTCTGTAGTTAAGTTCCTTTAATCATTCATAATATTGTCTTTTTTCTCTTTATCAGTCTAGCTAGAAGTGTATCAATTTTATTGATATTTTCCAATAACCAGGTTTTATTTTCTTTATTTCCTATTTGTCTATTTTTCTTCTTCATTGATTTCCGTTATTTATCATTTTCTTTCTTCTACTTACTTTGCATTTACCAGCTTTTTTCTAGCTTCTTAAGATAGAACCTTAGTTGATTTTTATCTTCCTTACTACTATAAAAAAAATAAAATTATAAATTTCACTCTAAGCACTTCTTTCAGTACATCTGACAACTTTTGGTATGTTTTGTTTCTATTTTCATTCAACTGAAGATGTTTTTTAATTTCTCACAATTTCTTTAATCTGTGACTTAATTGGAAATATAAGTTTCCAAAAATTTGAAGACTTTCCAGATACATGTTTTTTTAATTTTAATTATGTTATTATTAGAAAATATACTGTGTAAAATTTCATTTTTTTTGTAAACTTTATTGATACCTGTTTTATGGCCCAGTATGAAGTATATCTCAGAGAATGATCCACATTCTAAAAATGTTAATCAGGTTAAGTTTGTTGTTGGTGTGGTTCAAGTCTTCTATGTCCTTATCAACTTGTTCTGTCTACTTGTTCTACCAATTACTAAGAGAAGACTATTTACACTTTCAGCTATAATATATTGATTTGGCCCTGGCCAGTTTGGTTCAGCAGTCAGAGCGTCGGCCCGCGGACCAATGAGTCACAGGTTCGATTCCAGTTAGTGGCACATACCTCACTCAGTTGCAGTTTGTCCCTGGCCCTGGTCAGGGTCGTGTGGGAGGCAAGCAGTTGTGATGTTTCTCTCTCTCTCCCTCCCACTCTATCTGAAGATAAATAGAAAAATATCCTTGGGTGAGGATTTTAAAAAAAAATACACACACACATATATGTTTATATTTGTCTATTTCTCATTTATGGAAGTTTGCTTCATGAATTTTTATATTCTGTCATTAGGCATTTATATATTTATAGTTATTATATATTCCTAGTATAGTGATCCTTTTATCATTATGAAATGTCTCTCTCTGTCTTTAGTAAAACCCCTTGTCTTAGAGTCTATATGTTTTATATTAATAAAGCCACTACAGTTTTCTTATGCTTTTTTTTAAATCAAGCCTGACTAGACTGGACTTTTGATGGGAACATTTGGTCCATTTATAGTTAATGTTCATATCTATAAATGTGAATTTAGGCCTCTCTCTCTGAGATTCCAGTTATTTATATGTCAGAATACTTAATCTTATCCCACAGGTCTTTGGGGCTTTGTTCATTTTCCTTCAGTTTTTATTTTTTTCTCTCTTGTCCTCACATTGGATCGTTTCATTGTCTATTTCGAATTTACTGATTCTTTCTTCTGCCATATGAAATTTACTATGGAATCCATCCAGTGACATTTTTATTTCTATTATTGTAATTTTGAGGTCTAGAATATCCATTTTGTTCTTTCTTTAGTTTCCATTTCTCTATTAACTTTCCCTCTGGTAACTTGTAATGCCATATTTTCCGTTTCTGAACTGTTTGAAGTCTGTCTGCTAAAGCCAGTATCTAAGCCTACTTGGAGACAGTTTCTAGTGACCTTTGGTGTGTGTGTGGGGGGGGGGGCATGTTTTCTTGTTTCTTTTTCAAATCTAATAATTTTTTATTGAAAATTGGACACTGAAGATTAGTACATTACAGTGACTGTAGAATTTGTTTTTCTGAGAATTGTTAGTGTTTTGCTATCATAGGTAATCACTGTGCTTGTACTCAAACTCTAAAATAGATCTCCCATGCAGTGCGCAGCAGCCGATTTCTTTGCTTAGTGTTTTGTTTTGTATGTGTGCTTGATTTACTTCCGGAGGCTCCTTTTTCAGCCTGGTTCGCTGGAGATTGCCCTGTATCTAGTTTAGTAGACAGCCAAGGATTTTGGCAGAGGTTAACTAAAATTTTATAGTTAACTCTACCTGTGGTTTGCTTGTTTCTAAGGTTTTCTCTATTTCCATTTGCTCTTCCAACTCTGAATTTTGCCCTTTGACCGCTGGAGCAGTCTGAGCTGCATGTGAGCTGGGCAATAATACTCGCTGTCGGAGTTGCAGCGAACTCGCATATCAAACCAGGAACAATGACAAGGATCTTATCAGGGTAGAACTCTCACTGCTTTCTCTCTTTACCCTAGGGTCCTTGGCATCGCTTACACTCTTGCCAAGTTAGTGATCAGCCAGAGAATTGGAAATTTATGTTCAGATTTTGGATCTCTGATCTTCTATAGTTCCCTCTTCCTCCCAAAATTTCTCCCTTAAATTCTCTGCTGCTCTGCAGCACTGAACTCTGACATCTGCCCACTCAAGTCTTAACGGCATACTGCCCATATTCCACATCATGTTTACTTCCTTGGGTCCAGCACAGAGCCTGGCACGTTGTAATCATTGAATAAATATTTATGGATGCAAGGAAGGAGGAAAGGAAGGAAGGAAACAAAGAAAATGGGAGAGAAAGAGAAGGAAGGAAACAGGCAGACAGTTCATGGATCACCCACTCTGAAGTGCACATGGTGGGAACTAGAAGGGAGAGAGAGATGAGGGCTGCCTGAGACATCATCGTCTCTATCACAGCTTCACTGTTTTCTGTCCGTGCTGCCCTCCTTTCTATGCCCTTGCTTTGAAAACAAGAGTCCAGAACGTTCAGGGATTATTATCAAAGCACTGGGGCTGATTCCGAAGACTCTGTCACAGGGGTGTTCAGAATCAGACGCTGGCCGGCTAATAAACAGCTCTTATTTGGACTTCAATTCTCTAGTGGTCTTTCTTTGACTCTGTCGCGTCACAACATTTGGAGGCCGCAGGGCTGGTCTCAGAACTCAGGGTCAGTCGCCGGCCGGCTTTGCTCTCTATTTGGCTTTAATTTGGCTCTGGTGGTCTCTCGGTTCTCTCACGCTACAACACCATCCTCTACTGCCTACCCTGCCTCTGTCTCCTCATTATAATTTAATATTTCAAATTTCTCTAATAACTAAATAGTCACCTGTTGATATCAGGGGAAGTGAAGTATTTCTTCCTGGTATCCTGGTATCTCCAAATTTCTAAGAAATCTTAAAGTCCCTCTGTAAAGAGCTAGTTTCTTGGAAAAAGCCAGTTCCTCCTTTTGTACACTAGACAGAACAATCTAGGATATCAGATCAATCTGATAGCACTATCAATAACTTTGTGTCACAATGGGTCACAGTTAGAGTATTTAAGTTAAAAATCATGCTCCAGCCCAAACCACAAAAGTTTCTCAGACTGATCCCCAAGATTATGTTTTTTGCTTTTATTTCTGGTCATTTGGCAGCAGCGTATTAGTGGCATATGGATATCTATTTGTATCATTGCTGGTGATAATTGATTTTGATCATTTAGTTTAAGTGATGTTCTGCCAGGTTTCTCCAATTTAAAATTGCTGTTTTTATAATTAATAAATAATTTGTTTGGAAATACCTTGAGACTATGTAAAAGCCCCATATCTCATTACATATTGAACTCCACTTTTACCCTTACTAATAATTCTTTTACTCTATCATTTCTTCTATAAACACTAGGGATATTATATATATATATATATATATATATATATATATATATATATATGGCTGATTCCGAAGACTCTGTCACAGGGATGTTTGGAATCAGCAGCTGGCCAGCTAATAAACGGTTCTTATTTGGACTTCAAAAAAAAAAAAATGCCCTGGCCGGTTTGGCTCAGCAGTTGGAGCATCGGCCTGCGGACCAGAGAGTCCTGGGTTCGGTTCCCGCTAGGGGCACATACCAAAAAGGAAAAAAAGCATTGGAGATGTAGACCTGTCTGTTCAGCACAAGAGTTAGACCTGGAAGCTAACCCTTTGTAGTTGCCCTCTTGAGAGGCGACATGAATAGGATCTAACTAATTTTATGGGAATTAGGCAGCACCCAAGTTTTAAATAAATTACTGTAAATTTGTTTCTGCTCACTTGTTACTGAAATTAAAAGAAAAAAGGAACTAATATTTTAGGTTTAGTTCCTACTTATGTGCCTGGCACTGTGACTGACACTCTACTAAACAGTTGCTATGTCATTTCATTTTCATAAAAACCTAGCAAGAAGGGTAGTGTCTCTAGATTTTTCACATAAAGAAACAGGTTTAGAGAAGTTAAACAACATGCTCAAAATCACGCCACTCAGAGGTTGGGGATTGGGATTCAAACACAATATATCAAACTAGAAATATCCGTTTTTCCTCCCCAGAAGTGGTTCAGTTTGCATTTAAGTTAAATGATTCAAACTGAAAAACCATGAAGTCAAAGGGCCTCCTGGCACACCAGGTGGGTGGAGTTTTTGCATGGCAACAAAAGCTGGAATCTATTCAGTGCTTTAATTGAGGGTTCCAGTAATGATTATCTATATGAGGCTTAGGTTTCAAGCTTAATGATCTGTCCATGAGGCGCTCTGGAATGCACTTAGTGTGTGTGTTTCACCAAGCATGCATGTGTTCCTATTTTGCATTACATCCAGGCATCTCATCACCTCCCCCACACAGATAAACCCAGCCCGTAAACTTACAATTTCCTGTGGAGCTTGCTAAAAATGCAGATTCCTGAGTGCCATCCATAGAAATTCTTGTTCAGTCCATCTGGGCTGGGGCATTTGTAACAAAGACCCCAGGTGATTCTAACATACTGGATCCAAGTCCCTTCTTTCGGACTCTGGCAGTAAAGACTTTCCCTGTTGGAAAGTATATACTGGAAAGTAGGTGCACAGGAAGATAAAAGAATACTCTCAAAGCCCCCAGATAATTTGTTCAAGTCTCCTTCATAATCCATAATGTTATTACTTTCATAGGTTATAAGATTGCCTATGTATGTTGTTAACATTTTCTTTTTTTTTTTTTTTTTTTTTTAATCCTCACCCGAGGACATTTTTCCATTTTTTGTTCAGGTAGAGTGGGAGGGAGAGAGAGGAACAGAGAGAGAGAAACATCGATGTGAAGGGACACATCGAGTGGTTGCCACCCGCACAACCGACCAGGGCCGGGGACAAACTGCAACCGAGGTACGTGCCCTTAGCGGGAACCGAACCCGGGTCTCTCAGGACCGCAGGCCGACGCTCTAACCGCTGAGCCAAACCGGCCAGGGCTGTTGTTAACATTTTCATGTACTCTTACGTTTATTCATTTCACACTACTACTTTTACGGTAGATTCTTTGGACATGAAGCTGAAATGCATACAATGTACGAGTTAATACATGCCAAGACCCATGTCTTCCACCTTCAAAAAGTAGAACCAAGGGAAGAAAAGAAGTAAAAGTAGAACCAGGGCACCTATTTCAAAGTATTAGAGACTTTATAGCACTTAATTTTATACTTTCTCAAGTATTTTTGTTGTTGTTGTTGTTGTTCTTTATGTCCTCTTTGTCACCACTCCAGGACACTAATGACTTCAGCCAGGCCACACCTGTCTTGATCATCTTTCCCCGTCTAGTTCCTGGCGCTTCCTCCCTTCTCTTTCCAGAATCCCACCTTATTTTCCATACTTTTCTTGACTAACTGGTCATAAGGTGCTTTTCTCCAACTCCACCCTATCTAAACATGCAACTCCCCATGACTCACTCTCTCCTAATTGCTTCTACTGAATGTGCTCCATCCAGTGTGTTATCACCGTTCACACGACTGCACATCTGTTCCCATCACATTTGTCTGGCATATGGCGGAGTGGGAAAGGTGTGTGTTGAGATTTGGTCTTAGATGTATTTCTGATCATGTTGTTTATTAGCTTTAAATAGCTAAATATTCATTCATTTATTTATTTATTTATTTTTATCATCCTCACCCGAGGACATTTTTCCATTCTTTGTTCAGATAGAGTGGGAGGGAGAGAGAGGAACAGAGAGAGAGAGAAACAACGATGTGAAAGGGACACATCGAGTGGTCGCCACCGGCACAACCAACCAGGGCCGGGGATAAACTGCAACCGAGGTACATGCCCTTAGGGGGAACCAAACCCGGATCTCTCCGGACCGCAGGCCAACGCTCCAACCGCTGAGCCAAACCGGCCAGGGCGCTAAATATTTTTTTAAACAGCTCATCTAAAAATAAGATGAAGAAAAAATAAAAAATAGTTCATCTAATCACTCTTTTGTGAAGATCAAATAATCATATCCATCCTTCTAACGCAAGGTATTTGTGTGTGGTAGGTGCACGATAAATGTTAGTCACCAACATCTTCTCTTCAACCGTAATTTATTGAGCACCTGCTCTGTGTTAAATCCGTTTTCTTTGGGCTGGAGTGACAGGACAGACATCCCTGTCCTGATGGAGCTTACATGCTATGGGAGAAATAGAAAATAGTAAACAAATAATATAATCTAAAGTAGATAAAATAATTTATTATTTACCAAAAACAAATTTCATTTTGATGTGGATGATAATAGAATGCTGATTAAATATAAACCCATATTCTTTATATTCATTCTATATAACCTATAAGAGACCTACTCTTTCCTGTAGTGGAAGAGTCCACAGTGGGCTTCCTGTGCTTGAATACATCATAGTATGAATCCTCCACTGATCACATTCCTACAGCAGGATGAACCAGAAATGTCTTCAATAAATACTTACTTGATTGAAGAATCATCACTGGAAGGAGAAGTGGGGATTGATTGGTGCCAGTTAGGGTCTTGGCAGGAAGAGAAGCAAATAAATGCTATGCTGGAAGGTGGGAAGATAGGTTCATTACAGACGATGAAATACACAGCTGTAGGGTTTCACATCCCAGGATAACAGGGTGCCCATAGCCTTCCTTTTCTTTTCTTTTTTTATCCTCACCCGAGGACATTTTTGCATTTATGTTCAGATAGAGCGGGAGGGAGAGAAGGAGAAAGAGAAAGAAACATCGATGTGAGAGAGAGACACATCGAGTGGTAGCCACCCACACGACCCCAACTGGGGCCAGGGACAAACTGCAACTGAGGTACATGCCCTTAGCAGGAACCGAACCCAGGTCTCTCTGATCTGCGGGCCAACGCTCTAACCGCTGCCAAACCGGCGAAGGCATCCTTCTTTTTCTTAGAGCAAGAAAGTGAAGGTTCTCCTGCTGCAGAGAGCAACATTAGAACAGTTTTGGAGGAGACGCAGAGGGAGCAGAGGTGGGCAGGGAGGGTGTCTGGGCATGTGCCTTCTTAAAAAGCTCCTGAAGGGATTCTGATACAGTCTCTGGGCTGGGAATGGCTGCACAGTGCTTGGGATATAGTGGGTGTTTCATAAACATTCATTGACTAACTGGCAGGCTGGCTCAGAGAAAATCAGACAGCCCACCACAGGTGGGCCCTTTCCACAGGTCTGAGAAGTGACACTGTCTTCCTTCAGCATTAGAAAGCTGAGCGGAAAGGCTGAGTATGGTGCAAAGTTGTTACTTTGTTTTTCCTTTTTTAAAAACAGGAGAGTTCCCAAAGTGTCCCATTCCCATGTTAAAATCACATGGCAGCAAGGCATTTTAAAAAACAGTGTTGTATGATTGGACTACTATTATTGTATGTTAGCTATTAAAGGTTATAAAAAATAACCTTCAAAACTTTGTGGCTGGAAACAGTATGTGAATATTACTGCTTTGGAGTCTGCAGGATAGCTAAGTGGTTCTTTCTAGAGAATTAAGCTGGCATATTCCCTGCATCTGTGGTTGGCTGTGGGTTGGGTGGGCAGCTCTACTATTCTTGGATTTACTCTCTCATACATTTTGGGGGTTGGCTGGCCAGAGTTCGGTGGTGCCTGAGATGACTGGTCCTCCCTCGTGGTCTCTCACCCAGGAGACCACCTTGGACTGGCTGTTCCCATGGTGATATCAGGTACACAGAGTGAGAAGCGTGCAAGGTCTCTTGAGGCCTAGACTCAGAACTGGTACGTTCTGTTATGTGAAGCGAGTTCCAAATCCAGGTCAGATTTAAGAGATGGGAAATAGTCAACACCTCTTGATGGCACATGCTGCAGAGTCACATTGCAGAGAATAAGGGTGAGAGGGACCAGAGGTACAGCGATGCTGTTTTTACAATCATGAGTCATTCCACTGACCCCAAGTTGTATATTATTTCTTTGGTCAAAACTGATTAACTCTTTTGGAAAGAAGTAGTGTGTTTGGTCTTTGGAGCAGTTAATGCATGAGGTGTGCAAATGGATACATTTTAAATGTACTCGATAGGCTAAGACAGGTAAATATTTCTGGGTTGTGCTGAGCAGTACCTAATGCAATACCACTTTTGTGATTCAAGTGGGGTGTTTTCTGTTTTGTTTTGTCTTGAAATGTGATTTATTAGCTATAAGAGTTCCCTTTTAGTTCTTAATTAAATTAAGCAAGAAGCTTACTATGAAATGATATTTGCAGGGTGGCTTTTATACTGGAATGTTCCATCTTCTCCTGATCTGAAATAGTCTGCCTTCCAGTGGAAACAGACTTATAGAAAGAACAGACTGGCCCTGGCCAGTTTGGCTCAGCGGTTAGAGTGTCGACCTGCGGTCCTGAGAGGCCCGGATTCGGTTCCTGCTAAGGGCGCGTACCTCGGTTGCAGTTTGTCCCCGGCCCTGGTTGGTCGTGCGGGTGGCAGCCACTCGATGTGTGCCTTTCACATCGATGTTTCTCTCTCTCTCTCTCTCCCTGTTTCTCCCTCCCACTCTACCAGAACAAAAAAGGAAAAATGTCCTCGGGTGAGGATAAAAAATTAAAAAAAAGAACACACTGATTGCGAGTGGAGGGTGTTGGAACTGGGAGAGAAGTACAGATTGGTAGTCACATATAGTCCAGGGGATGCAAAGTACAGCCTAGGGAATATAGTCAATAATATTGTAATAACTGTGTGGTGCCAGGTGGGTACTGGAAATATTGGAGTAACACTTTATAAAGTATATGCTATACACCTGAAACAAATACAAAGTAATATTGAATGTAAACTGCAATTGAAAAAAACTTTAAATAAGAAAAAAATAAAACAGTCTACCTTCAAAAACTTCCAGTGACGGATAAGAGCAAAAATAGAAATTTACCTATTCAAAGAACATTTATTTCTCTTACAATGCAGTGTTTGAGGACTTGGTCTGGGCCTTTTTTTTTTTTTTTTTTCAACCTTAAACTCTACACTATAGATTTGGACTCCTTGACTAGAAAGTTTACAAGCCACTTCATCCTCTTTGCTCTGGAATTCTGGGTGGCCTACATTTTTCCATCTTTAATAAACAGTCTTGCTCTTGAATGAAAGGCGACTTATTACATGTTTGTATTTTTCATTCGAACTATTAAAGAACGCCTGCCCTCTTGTGTCCATAGGGATTGCTACAGTAAGGAGTGAAGGAGCAAGTTTATTGTGCCAGAAATACAGCATTGCACCCTACAGGAATTTTTCTCCTTAGCTTCCTCAAGGCTGCCAAGTATGGTTGTACAGCTTAAACACTGCAGAACAACCCCAGCCCGAGGTACAGGAATGGTCACTGAAATCTGTCCACATTTTGTTTGTCGAGCCAAGCATCTTATATCCAGGCTGTATCTTCCCAGAGGGGTTGCCCATTAAAATTTCATTCAAGGGTACCTGCCCTCTAGCCGTGTACCAACTAGAGTATGCAACCCCCTCTCCTTTATAGACTTCTGTACAGCCTCGTGTTAGTTGGAGCTTGTCCTCCACATGTCACATTCCTACTCAGAAACTTTAAAATAAGACTGTTAGAGCTGAATGGTATCACTTAGTCCCAGATTATCAGAGGAAAGAATTAAGGAACAGAGAGGCAAAAGGAGAAGTGCCAGATTTGTTCATGGCAATACAGGGCCTTCTGTATTAACATAGGCCTTCTGACTCCCAGTGCATGCTCTGGTCTTACGTTTAGCTTCAGGTAATCCCTGTATTTGACTCCACCCAACCTATCTGGGTGCTTGATGAATGAATGAATGACTATCCAGCTGTATTTTCTAATGTTTCTTTGCCCCAACCTCCCAAAATTTCCACACTCGTTTGCCACATCTATTCCTACTAAACATCGTTCTTCATATTCTTGTTCCTACCTGTAATGCTCACTGCTCTTGACCTGGTCAGTGCGTAGTTCCAGGTCCACTTCCTCCATGAAGCTGTCCTCCTCCAGCCTTCGTTAAGCCAGAAAAGGAAGAGCCATGAAGTTGAGCAGAGGTGTTCGGACATAGTGGAAAGGCCAGTGGCCTGGGTCCAGGACCTACATTGTAGGTCAGCCGGAGGTGGTTGATCTTGAACGGATGCCCTCACCGTCTGAGCCTCATCGGGCCCTTCCCGATCATGAAAGCATTGGGCTGCACTGGTGTTTGTTGCTCAGTGTGTGGCAGGTGTAGTGCTGGTGAGCTGGTATCAAGGGGTTCGTGGACAAGTATTTTAGGCATGTTAGTAGAAATTAATCTGTTTAAATATATTGGTTTTGGAAGAAGAAGAAAAAACATTAAACCCATAGTTCCCTAAATATTATTATATGTGACAAGGCTAGATATCTTAAGTTTGAAAAGACAGTCGATTTAAAAAAAAAATATCGGGATGGGGAGGAAGGTGTCTGGGGAGGTGGGGAAAGAGGAACATCTGTAACAAAAATAAATTAATAAAAATTGGAAAAAAATAAAAATAATTGGCCAAATTTTAAAAAGAAACATATTAAGCACTAGTACAAGTAATCAGAGATGGTGGGCGTGATAGGCGCACTGAAGGGATGGACGTGTGTGGCGTACCAGCGGGACTCAGCGCTGGCTCCCTCCTCTGCCCCCGGGCCCTTGGCTCACACCTGCTTAGCACTGACAGTGTCCATCACTGTTAGTGGCTGAGGACAATATGTCCTCTCTCCTTGTTACCGCTGTGTCTGATATTGCTTGAGCTTCACCACACTCATCACAGTATAAAGCACCAAATAGGTCTTTAACAGAGACTTACGGCTTCACTGATTTTTCTGTGTTGCCTCCATCATTTATAAAAGCATGGATCCAGGGTGTCAATATCCTAGTTTCAAAACCGTGTTCACTTTTATAAATGTAGGTGTTTTTATTTATAAAAATCATCTAGACTCATGTAAAATATGGGAAATACAGAAAAGCAGAAGAAGGCCTCCATATTCTTACAATCCAACGATGAACCCTGCTTAAATCCCTCCCTAAATGGAAGTTGTCCGGCAAAATCCTAGCAAGTGGGGATCAATTTCCATTCAGCATTTAGAAAATCGGAATATTCCTGATTGAATAGAATTTTGTCATCCCAAATCATAAAATCAGAAAATTCCAACGGTGCCCTGGCCGGTTTGGCTCAATGGTTAGAGCGTCGGCCCAGAGACCAAAGAGTCTTGGGTTCGATTCTGGTCAAGGGCATGTACCTCGGTTGCATTTCATCCCCAGCCCTGGTTGGGGTCGTGCAGGAGGCAACCAGTTGATGTGTCTCTCACATTGATGTTTCTCTCTCTCTCCCCACCTCCCTCCCACTCTATCTGAAGATAAATAGAAAAATATCCTCAGGTGAGGATTTAAGGAAAAAATTTCCAATGTGAATGCATGGATGGGGGTCCACTGGCACCCTTCTAAGCAACAGTTGAGTAACTGCCCCAGAGGCGAACTGACACTGGGAGACAGTACTGCAGATCACGAGTAATAATAACTAATACTCTTTGCAAAATGTATTGCGTATGTAAAGCTCTATGCTAATAATAATGGCTCAATAGTTCATGTGTACGTATGCTGATGGGTATATTTGTCTTTCCTGTAGGGTTTTTAGAGTCTCTGGACGACTTTTACATTCTTAGCAGTGGTCTGGTATTGCTGCAGACCACAAACAGTGTGTATAATAAAACCCTACTACAGCTTGTGACACCCCAGTCTCTCCTGGCCTGGCAGAGAGTTCGTGTGGCCAATATGATGGCCAATGACGGCAAGCAGTGGGCAGAGATATTTTCAAAATACAACTCTGGTAAGTGGCCCTGCAGAATAACTTTTTAGGAATGTGCATATGTTTAGATTTCAAGTTAACCAGTAAATCCATCCCCACGCCGTTTCCTCTCTCCCCAATATTTCAGGTACCTATAACAATCAGTACATGGTCCTGGACCTGAAGCAGGTGAAGCTGAGGTGCAGCCTTGACACAGGCACTCTGTACATTGTGGAGCAAATTCCTTCATATGTAGAATATTCTGAACAAACCAATGTTCTACGGAAAGGTATCTTCTTCATGCTAGAATTCGGAAATACAATGAGCATGTGTGCGAGTACATGGTGGGGAATGTGTGGTGTGTGTGTGATGGAGGAGTGTGTACTGGGGGAAAAGGATGGGAATGCCATTGTCAGTTACACTGGGAAAGAACTTCCAGGTTTAGCGCATGTAAAGCCTGCACCTTGGACTCTCAGGTGGCTGTGTGCAGACATTCACCACCTTAACACTTGTATGCTTCTAATATTACCTTCTCCCCTGGGTTCCCAAATTAAGCTTTTAGTTCAATGCAGCAAATGTTTATGGGAGTGCTACATTGGCCCAAGGACTAGAAAGGCACGATGCAGGTACAATGTCCCTGACCTTAGGAACCTCTGTCTAGGAGGGAAGCAAGGCACAGAAAGCAGCCATTCTAGCACCCGGAAACCAAAGAAGGGTGTAAGCTCTGTTTTAACCAGAGGCTTCACAAAGCCCAGTGGGAGGGGTCAGAGAAGGCGGTTCTGGAGACGAGAATGAGAACGTAGCCCAGCTGAAGCCCAGGTTTTGGAGTCACACTGCCTCGACTTGAATCTCTGCTCCTCACAAGCTCAGGCAAACTGTTCAGTCTTTCCAAGTCTCACTTTCTTCATCTGTAAAACATGACAATGGGACAGGTCCACAATCACATTTATAATTTTGAATTCTCAAAACCTCAAAACTCTAAAACCAAAAGGTTTTTGTGTGTTTTTCTTGGGGGAGGGGCGAGCCTTGATCACTTGATAGGAAAATATGACCTGATCTGAACCCATTTGGTAGCGAGAGCTAACCTGAACTGTCTATTTACATCTTTGTTCCTCTCCTCTAGAGAGGCTGTTTATACAGTAGGCTACAGAAACATCGGTAGCTTTTATAGGTGCTTCCCACAGACTGCAATGCCGCATCTAACACATGCACTCCACTGCTGTTCTTAAATCTGAAAAACCCTGAATTCCGAAACACATCTGCCCCCAGAGCGTTTTTAAATGTGGGAGTGTAGACCTTGACAATTTCACAAGGGTTGTAAAGAAAATTAATTTGAGAAAGTTCATATAAATTATTGAGCACATTGCTGGACTTAAGCGCACACACAATAAGTCCTCACTGAATACCTGTTGAATAAATGAAATTGAAGTGGAGGGTTTTGAGATGTTTGAGTGGAGGGTTAAAGGCCCAAAAAGGAGCTCACTAATTTGACAAGGGGGATAGGGTCAAACAATCAAAGGCATGAACCGATGATTGAGAAACTGTTGTCTCAAGATAGCCAAAGGAAAAGCTGTGAAAGATAGACAGTCGAGGGGAAATACCAGCCTTGTATGTCCTGCTAAGCAGCTTAGCCTTTATCCTTTAGGATATGGATATTTCTGAGAAGGGAGAGTAGACTGGAGATCAGAGAGAAGACAGGAGACTAATTAAGAAACTAATGAAATTGCTCGGCCGGTGTGGCTCAGTGTTGAGCATCGACCCATGCACCAAGAGGTCACCAGTTCATTCCTGGTCAGGACACAAGCCCAGGTTATGGGCCAGATCCCCAGTGGGGGGCGTGTAGGAGGCGGCCAATCGATGTTCTCTCTCATGGGTATTTCTATCTCCCTCTCCTTTCCTCTCTCTCTAAAAAAATCAATAAAGCAAGCCCCGGTTGGTTTTGCTCAGCGGTTAGAGCGTCAGCCTGCGGTCCATAGAGACCAGGGTTCAGTTCCCTCTAAGGGCACGTACCTTGGTTGCAGTATGTCCCCGGCGCTGGTTGGGTCGTGCGGGTGGCAGCCACTCAATGTATCCCTTTCACGTCGATGTTTCTCTCTCTGTCTCCCCCTCCCACTCTATCTGAACAAAAAATGGAAAAATGTCCTTGGGTGAGGATAAAAAATAAAAGAAAGAAAAAAAGAAACTACTGAAATGAATGGGCTGATTGATGAGTAGTAACAGAACCAAAGTAAGGTATGGACCCCGGGGATCATGGCCTGATCCTTAGTTCACCAGGTCCCCAAATCAACTTTGTAATGACCTAGAGTAACCACCTCAGCCAGGAATGGCTCACACCAATGACATGTACATAATATGCATAACGCAGAATTAAGCTGGAAACTTCCATTGCCAAGCAGATCACATACTACCAAGTAGCAGACTTACCTCCTTTTCTGCGAAGAAAATTCACCTAAGAAATCAAATCATTAGGTGGTTGCTTGGTTGGCATGCAATTCAAAACTGAGACCCCTGGCAGTCTGACCTTAAGGCTGGTCCACCCAGCGCCCAAGAGCCGGACAATAACAGCACACCTCCGGAGAGTGATGTCTGAATGATGGATGGCCCTGTGTGGACTGCCTGTCCTGTAGGCAGTAACCCAGGCCACTATAATCTGCAGTGGTCTTGAAATGTTGATTTTCCTACAGTTGTGTCACATGTGTGATGCTGAGTGACTAGTGGCCTTGGCACACTACCCAGTTTTGAATGAAGCTGAGCCTTTCTGAAAGCTTAGAGTCAAAGGAGTTGAAAGCCTACTGGAACCTTAAAGATCATCTACAATCCCCTCATATTATGGACTCTCCTTTTCCCTCCCTCTACTAAAGAAAAAAAAAAAACCTCAAGAACAAAAACGAAGTTAACTGCCTAAGACCTAGTTATTCAGCCCTGGGCCCAGAATTCAGGTTTTCGATCCCCTGTACTGTGTTCTTCCTGTCTTCCATGACTGGCACCTGGCATACTCCCTGTTAGGACCACACTGGGAAACCATCTTTTGGCATTTCACTAACCAAACCCACTGAAATGGGCTCCCCAGAACACTTTGTGTTATACTTCACTTTACTCTACAAATACTAGTATTTTCTAGTTAATGGATTGCTTTAAGAATTTGGGGTGAAAACCAAAGAATTCGGTGTTCTTTTCCCCCTGATGGAATAATCTAGAGGTATACCAATTCTGTAAATCGTAAGGACTGGTTTGACTGCGAGTTCACATTCAGTTTTATTTTCTATATAATATCATTTTGTAATTACACACCTGTGCCAGGTTACAAAAGAAACTATCATTAATAACATTTCTTTTGTTCCTTCTCTTTCCTTTTTTCTCCCTCCCTGTCAATCCCACCCTACCTTCCCTCCATTCAAAATCAGGATACTGGGCCTCCTACAACATTCCTTTCCATGAAAACATCTACAACTGGAGTGGCTATCCTATGTTAGTTCAGAAGCTGGGTTTGGACTACTCTTATGATCTGGCTCCACGAGCCAAAATCTTCCGGCGTGACCAAGGGAG